TCTCTCCTTTTTGTTTCACAGGAAATTTGCGAGAATCCCCGATTTATCATTGGTGGAGCCAACAGAACTGACATCTGTCAAGGAGAATTAGGTAGGAAGGTCCCTCAGGTCATATCCAGCCGAACGATCCAGGGGCAGTTAAAAGGTGTGATCCCTTTACAGGAAATAAAGGGACGGTAATCTGTTTTTATTTTTAATGAACTTTGGGGAGCAGGTTTTTATATTATTTTATGTGCTGGTGATTGCTTCATTTAATTTCTGTGCCTCCCACATTTCTTGTTCTTTGCCATGTGTCACAGGAAGTAGACCTCATTCCACAGCCTCCCTTCTAGAGTCACAAGGACAGGCACACATCCCACTCAGCAAGACAAAGCCCTGCTTTTGACTGTTCCCATCTTCCTTAAAAGACAGCTCTGAAACCGTCTGCGTACCAAGCATGGCCCTTGGGAACATAGAATCTATCTATACACACAAAACCCATTAACAAAAAGAGCACTTGGAACTGGAACTCTTGTTTAAATTGCCCCAGAATAACAGCTCCTTATTAAAAGGACCTTTCAGCCCTGGTGGGTAGCTCAGTTGGTTAGAGCGTTGTCCCAATACACCAAGGTTGCAGGTTTGATCTCTGGTCAGGGCACTTACAAGCGCAACCAATGAATGCATAAATAAGTAGAACAACAGATATTTCCCTCTCTCTCTCTCTCTCTCTCTCTCTCTCCCTCATACACACACACACACACACACACACACACACACACACACACACACACACACACAGTGTCGCCTCTGACTACATATAGTGCTCTGCCAGAAAGGAGGTTCAGGAAGTAAGAAAATATCCCCTTCTCATTCCATTGCCAGCAATGTCTTAGCACCCCCTACAGACTGGTTCCAGAGCAGCTGCCTAACGACTCCTTACAACACAAACCGGCTTGACTGGTGCCTCTCAGATGCCCAGTCTCCACTGAGGTCAGAGGGGAAACGGACTCACATTGCAAAGATACGGGGCAGGGCGGAGTTCCTACAGGTGTTCTGAAGAACGGCCCAACTATGACCTACCGCCCTGCTTACACTGAGGCCCAGAAAGGAAATGAGCTAATTTTGCAGTTGGAGGAATTGCCCACAGCTCTCAGGAAAACCACTGGGGAGGGTGTAAGTTGCCCGACTGGTCACATTGTCAAGGGACTGCTGTGGAACTCCTTCTCTGGTTGACACCTCTGTAAGGTCAGGCCTGAAGGTAGGACAGTCAGCACCACTTGAACTGTGCTATTCAGAGAAGTGGAGCAGCATGGCCGGGAGGGACGGCCCCCCCTTTGACCTGTGCCCCGTGTTTGCCTGCAGGGGACTGCTGGTTTCTCGCAGCCATTGCTTGCCTGACCCTCCACGAGCACCTGCTTTTCCGAGTCATACCCCATGATCAGAGTTTCATCGAAAACTACGCAGGGATCTTCCACTTCCAGGTAAGGTCCTGGGGGTGGCCAGCGGCAGTTCGCTCGCCACTAGTCTCCTGGCCTTGTCTTTCCCGTGGCTCCAGAAAGGTTTCACCTGCCCTCCCAGCCGTGGCTGTGGGCAGTGGTCCCCTTAAGGCCGCAAGCCTGTGCGGAAGCAGTTGTTTATTTCTGCCCTTCACACTCCCCCTCACACACCTTCCGCTATGCCCCAGAAAAGCAGGAAGACATCCTGTTTGCTGGACTCTGGGTCTATTTTTGCCTCTCCGGCTGGCTGGCTGCTCTGTCATTACCCATGGCCCTTCTCAAGTAGGCCCCTGAGATATTAGCATGGAGAATCCTTAAAGGAAGCCCCATCGACAACGGTGGCTTCTGTTTACTTGTTTCCATTTAAGGCAGATCTACACCAAGTCTATCACTCACCTCTCCTAGGCTCTGGAAGGAAAGTCTGGTTCATCTGGGGACTAGGTCTCTGGTTTGGCCCAGAAATGAGTCTGAGTTCCAGCATCAATTCAGCCATTGGACATTTTCTGGATCCAACGTGTCCTGGCATCGAGCCAGGTGCTGGCCCCCAGCAGAGTGAGTTCTACATGTGGGGGTCTAGCAGATACCAGGGTTCTGAGGCATCCATCTGTCTCCCGCCCTAAAGGCTCCAAACATCTTGATTGGCCTAAATCATCGGTTGACGTATCTGCTGATCCTGTACCTCAGGACTAAAGGCCTCAGAAAAGTCTCTTCAGGTTCAGGGTCAGCGTCCTGCTGCGTCCTGGCACCGGGGGAGGCAGCCAGGCCCTGAATTTTGTTTTTTCCCCTGTACCCCCGAGCTGCTAGTTTCCCGCTGATACTTAAAGGGTCTGATGTCTAAAGGGACATAAATACAAAAACCAAATAGATTTTTGCCCTCTTGTCAATAAGGGGGGTAGGAGAAGATGTCATTAGAAGAAAATTAAACTACATTTGAGTTTCTTCAATTAAAACAGAGTTGTTCAAAAAAGAACAACATCCAGAATTGCAATTATTGGACAATTCTCCTGCTTCGGTCAAAGTATGTTCTGGGCACATTTTCTTCCATGTTCATTCTCTTCTTCAGCAGCAATTTCTACCTTGTTTGCCATCAAGAAATACATAAATCAACACATCACCTTCATCTAGACCAGTAGCTCTCAACCTGGCTGCATATTAGAATCAGCTGAGGTGCCTAAAGACGCTGGTACCTAGGCCGCACCCCAGACTTACTGGGCTGGAGAATGACAATTCCAAGTCCTCAGATATTCATGGAGCTCCTACTATCCCCAGCCCTGGGCTGGACTCTGTGAAAGACGCGAAGTGGTTGGTAACTGCTTCCTGCCCTCAAGGAGCTCACAGTCCACTTAGAAACAGATGCCAAACCCAGAATAGTATGAACAAGCACCAAGGTGCAGAGCTGAGGAAATGGCCCTGCTCTGGGATCAGAGGAACCCCGGTGCCCCCTCAGGAATGCTGGGTAGGGACACATTTCCCAACGGTAATCTGAGCTCGCTGCTTCTGTGCAGTTCTGGCGCTATGGAGACTGGGTGGACGTGGTTATCGATGACTGCCTGCCAACTTACAACGATCAGCTGGTCTTCACCAAGTCCAACCACCGCAATGAGTTTTGGAGCGCTCTGCTGGAGAAGGCTTATGCGAAGTAAGGCCACGCTTTCGAAGGGGAGGCAAGTCTAGAAGTGAGGAGGTGGGCTGCAACACCCAGCCAGGGTCTCACTCGTGAGAGGAGGCGTGCATATCTGTGCCCGTGTGTGTGTGTTCAACTGTGACCCAAAGTCAGAGAAGATCGAGTCCAGGCAGAAACAGCTCTAACTAAAAAGATTCTGTTTAAGAACAGAAAGGAAGACATAGGAAAGCTTTAGCTGTAGCTTCCCAGATTGAGCTCTTTAATTCTGTCTTTGTAGTGGCATTACAAGTCCTAGATCCAAGCATTATATTTCTGGAGCTCAGATCCCAGGGTTTTGCTTGACTCCACCTCATGAGCTTGCAATATATTCATAAAGCCATATTGTCGCTCAACTTAGAAGGCCGGCCGACTGGTGGCTTTAAGAAAGCCCTACCTCAGGGTTCAGGGTTATAATGGAGAGAGAGCTATCGGGGAGTGGGAATAGCTAGTTTCCGGTCCCAGTGCTCTGGCTCCCTGTGGCCCTGGGTGAGTCACCTAGCCTTGGGAGTTCAGCTTCTCCTCCGTGAAGAAAGGGAATCATAGAGCCGATCCACTAGCCTATAGGGTTGTTGGAGAATTGGTGAGAGAACATCACAGGATGAGAGTAAAGTTCTGGTGGCAGTGCTGCCTGGGTGACGTTTCCTGGAACCCTGTGACCCCAGACTGGTCTTCATCCTCTCTCCAAGGCTCCATGGTTCCTATGAAGCTCTGAAAGGTGGGAACACGACAGAGGCCATGGAGGACTTCACAGGAGGGGTCACAGAGTTTTTTGAGATTAAGGATGCTCCCAGAGACATGTACAAGATCATGAAGAAAGCCATCGAGAGAGGCTCCCTCATGGGCTGCTCCATTGATGTAAGTCTGGGGTGTGGGGCGCAGGGCAGGGAGCAGCCACATATCAGAAAGTCTTACCCGGTGACTGGCAGCACAGGGTTCTCCTCTGGGACCCGCGAATGTTTAGCTTTTGGAAGCAGGAACTGGCTCTCAACTTTGAAAATTGGGAATTTCTCAAGGTAGAAGAGTTCTAGGGCATTTTCAATAAAGAGGTAGGACAAGGACATATCAAGCTCTGGAATATTGGGAACAGGCCCAGAGGCCTATATCAGTGTGGGCCTCTGTGGTGGGAACATGCCCCCATGAAGCTGGCCACATGCTTGGCGATGGGCCTGAGCCCACTGGTTCCCTAAGAAAGCCTCAGTCCTTGGGCTTTGATGGCCACGCTCCCTTGGGGCCTGGGCTCTGTGTTGTGATGTGGGAGGAGCTCAGCCTGCGGTCCCCCTCTCAGTGTAACGAAGTGGTTTGAACTGAGACCAGATTCAAGGGTGAGGAGATGGCAGACTGGCCAGGCCTGCTGAGTGTCAGGAGACACGCCTGCCTGGGGCTGCTCAGTGCATACTAGTCCTGGTGCTTTCCATTGCGGAGGAAGAGGCCCAAGATGAATTACTACTCCTTCCTCTCCCAATACTCGCCTGGATAGGAAAGGTTGGGGAGATCAGCTAGCATAAGACACCCATAGATGAACATTTTCTTCCTGTATCGCTTTTCTCCATCTTTTCTCCATTCATGCTGTTTCTCTCTCCTCTCTTCCTTTGTCTGTCTCCTCCCTTCCTCCGGTCTCCTTTCCTTGTTATCACCCTCCTTTGTTCTCCTCCTGGACTGCCTCCTGCCCTCCCCGTGGGGCCCCAGGATGGCACAAACATGACCTATGGAACCTCGCCTTCTGGGCTGAAAATGGGGGATTTGATTGCACGGATGGTGAGGAATATGGATAACTCGCTGCTCCGCACCACAGGCTCAGATGACAGACCGACCCGGGTGTGTACGCCTCCAAATGTCGGGAATAAGCACCCCTCCAACCTGCATGACCTGGCCCTGGTGGTGTCACACTCCCCTCAGTAGCCAGTGCCTCACACACAGGCCCCCACCCGGGGCCTCCCAAGGGTCTGAGTTGGAATAATTTGCCTGCTCCACGGTTCTTGAGGGTGGGAGAGACAGGATTTGGAAGGGATCTCTATGGGAGCCCCTTCTCCATGGTCCAGGCAGTTTCTCTGATAAATTAACAGGAAGAAATATAAGAGACTTCTTGTATTAAAATGTCTCTCCTCTTCTTTTTTTAAAAAATATTTTTTAATTGATTTCAGAGAGAAAGGGAGAGGGAGAGCGAGATATAAACATCAGTGATGAGAGAGGATCATTGATCGGCTGCCTCTTGCATGCCCCCTACTGGGGACTGAGCCAGCAACCCGGGCATGTGCCCTGACCGGGAATGGAACCGTTATCTCTTGGTTCATAGTCGACACTGAACCACGGAGCCATGCCAGACGGGTTCTCCTCTTCTAATTCATTCATTTATTCATTTCCACATATTTATTGAGCTCCTACTAGATGCCAGGTACTCTTCTAGCAAACAAGGAAAATTCTCTCCTCTTCGTTCACTATCCTAGTGAACGAACGAAGCAAAGTCCCTCCCCTCATAGAGCTGATATTCTAGTACTTTCAGAATTAATACACACTCACTGAGGAATATCGAGCCATATGGTAAAGCAGGAGAAAAATTAACCCATCTTTCCCCATCTATAGGTAATAACTCCTAACTAACATTTGGCATATGTCCTCCCAAGATTTTCTCTATGCATACACTTAAATTTTTATTTTTTAGTGTTATCATACTGTATGTACCTCTTTGCAACATGATTTTTTAAAACTTAGTTTTGTACTCTTAATGTGTTTCCTATAATATTTAAGAGTCTTCCCATGGCAAGAGGTACACTTTCAGGGCGTGGAGGAGTGCCCGTCCTCACCACCCCCAGAAAATGAACCGTGTGAGCCCTGTCTCTGGCGGCAGGATTTTGCTTCCCAACCCCTGACAGGCTGCCTGGATTTCGCTCCACAGACCATTGTTCCGGTTCAGTATGAGACGAGGATGGCTTGCGGGCTGGTCCGAGGACATGCCTACTCCGTCACTGGGCTGGAGGAGGTGAGCCTGGCAACGCGTGGCGGGATGGGACTTGAAGAGCTACTTGGATTAAGCTCCTGACGTCAGGACTTGGCTTTCTGTGTCCCCTTGTAGCTACAGAGCTTGCTTTCTCCCATTCAGGGGATCCGCTCAGGGCTCAAGCCAAATGCCTGGGGTTGGAGGGGACCATGGGCACATGCAGGATCTTGCCACCAGATGGTGCTCAGTTTATCATTGTTTTTAGAGCTAAAGATAGCCATTCCCCTCAACATTTCCAAGGAACAAGTAGAAATCACTTCGGTTTTATGACGTTGGTTTCATGGGCTCTCATGCTTCCTGCTCTTCCACGGCCAAAGAGTTACAGTGCTTTGCTCCAGGGACATCTGGCCTTTACTAGCCTTTACTGGGTCAGAGACAGGATCCTGGTCAGACACATGTATTTGGTCAGGCTGAGCCCTGTGCACAGGGATGGACAGAGCGGGCCGTCATCTGGGGCAGCACTCACAGCGGACTGGAGGCAGGGCACCTTTTTCTGATTGGTCCATCTAGAGGGGACTTTTGTCTGTAGTTCCTCAACCAGGAGGGGCATTCTTCCTAATTCACACAAAGACACCGAATGTGCTAGCAGGGCCCTACAGTGCATGCCCTGCCTCCTCCCCCAAAGCTCATAAGAGCCAGGGGTTCACCGGGGAAGTCCCTTCTGAGATGTGAGGCGATGGCTAAGCCCTGACTGCCGAGGACTCAGTCCCAAGGTCCTGACCCCTCACCCTGCCATTCCAGTCTTCTTGACCAGGGCCAGCAGGACAGCCCCCCTATGGGATTCTCTCCCCAACCCATCCCAGCCCTCAGGGCAAAACGGAAGACCGCCTTTACAGAAAGGCTCCAGAGCATGAGAGCTCTTTCTCTTTTGCCCAAGGTCATGTTCAAGGATGAGAAGGTGAAGCTGGTGCGGCTGCGGAACCCCTGGGGCCAGGTGGAGTGGACCGGCTCCTGGAGTGATGGGTAGGTGAGGGGACTCCAGGAGTAGGGACAACAGGCCTGGGACAGGGCTGGGGTGGGTGCAAAGCCGGAAGAGCACTACAAATGTTTGGTCTAAAATTATCTTCAGCTCTGGCCACGTGGCTCACTTGGTTGGAGTGTCATCCCGAGCACCAAAAGGTTGTGGGTTCAATTTTCTGTCAGGGCACATACCTAGGTTTTGGGTTTGACCCCTAGTTGGGGCATGTGGTGGTCGGGGGGGCGGGGAGGAGCAACCAATTGATGCTTTTCTCTCTCCCCCACCTTTCCTCTCTCTCAAAAAAAAAAAATCAATAAAAACACATCCTTGGTGAGGATTTTTTAAAATAAAGTATAATTACCTTCAAAACCAGTGATCCACAGAAGAGAAGAGAGGATGTGGGCTCCAGAGAAGGGCCTGGCGAGGTGCTAGGTGAGCCTGGGAGCCAGAGAGCTTGCTGGTGGCCACTGGTTGGAAAGGAAAGATTCTAGAAAGCATGGGTTAGGTCCCGGTAGGAGGGAGTCTCAACGCGGGGGTCTAGACTAGACAAGTGACTTCCCTTCTCAGAGTCCCTGCTGCCTTATCTGGAAAACGGGAAGGACGTCGACACTTCCCGGGGGGCTGTTCGGAGGAGAAGATGTGATCGTGTCTGGAGGTGCTTGGCCAGGGCTAAGGTTCCCTTCCCTTCACTGTCCCCGTAGGAAGGAGCACAGGCCCTTTGAAATAACTTTACTAGTTTTCACTAAAGAGCAATAGACTCGGGGCAGCAAAATTTACAAACACGGGAAATGTGTGATGAAGGCTCCAGGACACGTGCAAAGCCTCTATGGCCCCACCCCAGCCGCTGGGTCCTGGCTGTCTCACGGAATGGGGGGCAGTTCCCTGTGCTCCTGTTATTCCCACGGGGGGGGAGCAGGGCTCAGCCACGGAGAAGGACCACAGCCAGGCCCTTCCTCAGCCCCCGTGCTTACCTCGACATACCTCTCATCCAGGCACATTACTGGTTCATTCAGCCACTCATTGACTTAGCAAGTCAGTGAGCGCCCACTGAACGGCAGGCACAGGTGTAAGCCTGGGGATAGGCCTCCCTCAAGAGACTGTGATAGGGAGCTGGTCCTGGTCTCCCACTGTTTCTTTCACTTCCTCGGGGTTGAGTGTATGCCGGGCCCATGCTGCTGTCTAGGGACTTAGAAATGAACACAGAGACACAGACCCTGCCCTGTAGGCTTTAAGGTCCAGCGGGAAGGACAAACACTTACAATCATTGAGATAAGTGCCATGGCAAGGGTCACAAAGAGGGATCCCCGCTCCCAGCTTGGGTAGGACAGGAAGGTGCAAGAAGGCTGCCTGGACGGAGTGGCCTTCGGACCCGGCTGTGTGTTCTGGGATCTTGGTGCCCCGTCAGCTGTCTACTCCACTGGCCCGAGTCTCCCATAGGGACCCACGCTGTGTTCTTCAGCCTCAGAGCTTGGTGTCCAGCCTTAACCCTCTTCCTGCCGAGGCCTCCACTTCAGGGACTGCTGACCGGGGGGCCTCAGCCCTCAGTCACTGAAAGGGAGACTCCCCTTCCCCGCTGTGTCCCTCCTCCTGGTCTCAGGACTCTCCCTTTCCCCTCCAGCATTCCCTGCTTCTAAGCTCTTCCTCACCCCTTACCTTTCCAGGGTCAGCCCAGCTTGGTTTCATTCTCCCCAGTGTGGCTGAAATACAAACGTGCTTCTTTTCCTCCCTCTTCAGGAGAGAGTGTACGAAACTGCCCGGCCTTTAAAAACACAAGCTGGGCTGTTTCCGGGGCTGGCAGGGGACGGGGGGTGCTTACATGCCTGGTCTTTCCCTTAGTAACTCAGTCCCTTGTCCGAGGACAGGCACTGTTCTGCAGTTTTGTGTGCATTATTTCAGGTACTGCTCATCGCAGCCTGGGAGTGGATGATATGCAATCCTTCCCCTCTTGCTGCTGAGAAAACAGAAGCTGAGCCGGCCCTGGTATTATTCAATTGGATTCTCAGTTTATGTATTTCCAGAGCCCAACTCCTAGCTTTAAAGTATGCAGAGGAGTGAAAGATTCAGCCAGAGAAGGGTCAAGCCCTTCCCAGCCCATTGAAGGAGTTTGGTTCTCATCCTGAGGCTGGTGGGAAGCAATTACTGGGTGGTACAGTGAGGGGATCAGGTCAGATTTGCATGTGGATGGTTCACACTGGCTGCAATTTGGAGATGAGCTACTCTTTGAACTTTTTCATATCTCTCTGGTACCTCCTATCCCAGTGGTTGGCAAACTGCGGCTCTCGAGCCACATGCGGCTTTTTGGCCCCTTGAGTGTGGCTCTTCCACAAAATACCATGTGCGGGCGCGCACGTACAGTGCGATTGAAACTTCTTGGCCCATGCGCAAAAGTCGGTATTTTGTGGAAGAGCCACACTCAAGGGGCCAAAGAGCCTCATGTGGCTCGCGAGCCGCAGTTTGCCGACCACTGTCCTATCCCAACCCACATCAAGCCTTCCTTTCTCCCGTCCATAATTCTCCCATTTTTCCCTCCAGTTGGAAGGACTGGAGCTTTGTGGACAAAGATGAGAAGGCCCGTCTGCAGCAAGAGGTCGCTGAGGAAGGAGAGTTCTGGTGAGTCCAGGACCAAGGAGGACCCCAAAGGTACGGGGTGGGGCAGGAGCTGAAATCACAAAACTCAATTCCCAGACAGAGGCCGTCAGATTCCAGCCCTTGGGGATCGGGGCCCTGTTCTCCTCCAGCTGGAGGCCCAGCAAGGATGAGGTTCTGAGAGGAGCCACCCGGCCAGGTCAAGGTGGCGACTGAGCCTGGGGCCAGGCCGGCATCACCAGGTCCTGCCTCACCTGTGCCCCTCCACCTTGCACGCTGCTCCAGACTCTCGCTCCCCAGCCTCGCAGAGCTGTTTTCTGGGCCGGGGAAGCTCTACTTACTCTGCTCACCCAGTGCCCTCACCTCCACACGGATCACTTCTACTCAGCCTTCAAGTGTCAGCTGACAGGGAACTTCCTTCAGGAACCCCTTGTCTTCCTTAGGACTGGAATGAATTTATTTGTTATGCTCACCACCCTTGAAATTGCTTGCTTAATTGTTCTTTCCTAACTCTCTCTAATAACTAGCATGGTGCCTGGGTCCCAGCGAGGGTCACACAGGAAGTTTTTGGAGAACTGAGTTGCTGCTGAGCTCTCCCGTGAAGGACACATGAGTTTGAGTCATTACTGAAAGAGATGATAGTTTGGGGTGGATACACCGGAATGGACAGTGTTTACCCTAAAAAGGGGTGGACAGGGTCCTTTCTGGGACTGTGACCAAGTTCTACTGGACCGTTTTATTGGGCTGTGTTAGCCCAGGAATCTTACCTTTCCACGCCTCCATATGGGTCTCTCTCTTCTCCCAACCTCTCAGGATGTCCTATGATGATTTCGTCTACCATTTCACAAAGCTGGAGATCTGCAACCTCACCGCTGATGCCCTGGAGTCCGACAAGCTTCAGACCTGGACGGTGTCCGTGAATGAGGGCCGCTGGGTGAGGGGCTGCTCTGCTGGCGGCTGCCGCAACTTCCCAGGTGGGAGCAGCTCTGCACCGGGAGGGGAGGGGGGGGGGGGCGCGTGGTCGAAGCAGAACAAGCTCCAGGTAGAATAACATTAGCGAGTATTTGCCGAGTTTCTAAGCTGCAGACATACATTATCTTAGGAAGCCCTTCCTGTTTTACTGGGAAGGGAACTGCCATGAGGAGGAGTTTGCAATAAGGGGTTGGGAACCACTTTTAAACAGGACATTGTAACAGAATAATACCATACATTGTGCTCATACTGCTGAGGATGGGACTAGAGGGCCCAGTTAGCAACTACTGCAACAGTTCAAGTCAGAAATAATGAACTCCTAGGCCAAGTCAGGGGAGCAGAGGTGCAGAGAAGAGGGCTGAGGGGAGAAGAGACTGAGTAATGCGGGGAAGGAAGAATGAAGAAGGACTTGAAGATTCCCAGCTTGGGGCATGAGCGGATGGTGTCAGTGCTGCAATATCTCAGAAACACAAGAGGAAAACATGGTGTGTCATTTGTTTTTGGTGGGTTGACTGTGGGCTTGTAGGGAGGGACGTTTAGTTTGGGACACGGAAAGTCTGAGGCACCTGCACAATCACCAGTGAAGATGTGGAATAGAGAGCTGAACGCAGAGGCAGAGAGGTACTCTGTGTATTTGTAGAAGGGAGGGAAGGAAGGAGTCAAAGGAGAGATGGAGGCTGGGACCTATAGCTCAGGCACCATCCGTGCGTGGAGGGCAGTGAGAAAGTGAAAGTGGGTAAGACAGCCCGGGGCCACAGTGGTGAGCTGAGAGAACAGGTCTAGGGCCCCATCCCAGGAACCAGCGACAGTAAAGGGACAGGTGAGCAAAGCAAAGCCCTCAGCAGAGACCGAGGATGGACGTGCAGAGAGGAAGGAGGAGGCACACAGCCCGTCAGGGCAGCTCTGTCTGTAGAAAGTATAGGTTACCGGCCCCCCTCCCATAACAGACCAAGCCTGATCATTCCTTCACATCCATTGAGCACCTAGATGTGGGAGACAAACACGTTCCCTCTGTCTCATCCACCACCACCCCGGTTTCTCCCAGAGGAGATCTGAGTGCACGCTTTCTTTCTGGGCACAGACACTTTCTGGACCAACCCGCAGTACCGCCTGAAGCTCCTGGAGGAGGACGACGACCCCGAGGACTCAGAGGTGATCTGCAGCTTCCTGGTGGCCCTGATGCAGAAGAACCGGCGGAAGGACCGGAAGCTGGGGGCCAACCTCTTCACCATCGGCTTCGCCATTTACGAGGTAGGACCAGCTTCAGCCCAAGAAACACACCTTCGGGGGGCGGGGGGAGGCACTCAGCAACCCTCAGAACTCTGGCATCTGGCCCACTGTGTCAGAACCGCTTATTTATAAGGAGTGAAGGAGTGGCTAAAAACCAGGGTGGGGGAGGGGGAGGGGGCCCCGGGCTGGCCATGGGGAGTCAGGCTTATGTATTCGCTCTACAGTTGCTCATGTTCCCTTCCGACATGCTTTTTGTCTCCATTCAGATCTGAGATCCACAGAATCTGAGTGTCGTCTTTTTCTGTTTCTCCTCAAGGTTCCCAAAGAGGTATAGAAGGGCAGCGCCAGCAGCTGTGGGCAGCGTTACCCGGGGCCTGTGTCTGCCTGTGGCACCTCGGGAAGCTTCCTGGTGGGGGGTGTGGGCAGGACTGTGATAGGAGAGGGCCTCGCCTGCGTCCCTCAACTCCAGAGCAGGCCCATGACCTCCTGACTACCACCCTCACGCTGTGGCCCTCCCCTCAGAGACGGTCACACGCATGCTTTCACACAGTCATGGTCACTTGTTCACACTCATACACACGCTTGCTCACATACACCTTCATACACAATTACACACTCGCCCATCGTCACACAGACACATTCTAAGGGGGACCGCCCTCTTTGGGATGGAGGAGTTGCCTCCCTCGGACCCCAGCTAAGGGCCCTCCTGCCTCCTGGGGTCCTTCGCTGGCCTGGAGGCTACTGGAGTTGACCAGCAGCACTTCTGGTAAGTGATCCTGAGGGCGGGAATGATAGACTTGACCTTCAGAATCACAACAGAAGAGGAGGAAATGGGGTAGGGAGCTCCAGGGCACTGAGCTATTTGCGACCTTGGGAATCGGAAGTCGACAGGTCATGACTGCACTGGGTGACCAGGGAGTCGGGAAGGGAGCCTGGGGGGACTGCTGCAGGACAGGGCACCCCTCCCTACCGAGGGGCTCAGGTGGGCTCTTCTCTCCTCAGATGCATGGG